TTGGCCAGTCTCATGGGATATTATGCTGACTGGTTGCTGTTACCAGGGATACCTAGGATGCAGATTCTAGAAGCCCCTAGAGAGAATAAAAAGACAGTTGTTTAGTTTGGAACATCATTTGCAGAGAGTATAGAAAAAGTTTGGCTCTTCTAACGAGTGAAATGTAGGCAGAATACCATTCCTAGATTAAGTTTTGTTTCCTAGAGAGGAAATAGGAAAAGTTTGTTTCCCCGTAAGACTTGCTTAAAACTGTTGAATAAATGGAAAATGGTGACGCTAGAAAGGAATATAATCTTCTCTTTCCCAGAATTGGATATTAGGGTAAAGAATACTGTACACACACAATTAATCTTAAAGGCAGGGTTGTATATTCGTGTATGTATGCAAGATCTTGGGTGCACAGATGACAGTCAAGAGTTGCTTTGCCTTTTGATTCCATTGATCAGCCTATTTACAGTTTGGCCCTATGTTTTCAGCACAGTAGACGGAGGCAAAACCTAATAGCTAAAATGAAAATCCAGTAGCATATATTGGCAATGTGATCCCCTCCTAATATAGTTATATGAACAATTGATACTTCTTTGTAATATTGAGAATATGTGAAAATTAAAAAACTGCAGTTTTTGTTGTAATAACATTTATAACTTCCTTTAAGATTATAGCTTGCTTGAATTGAATTGTAGAGTAGTAGATTTCAGTTGATAATTACTAAAGTAGTACTACACTGTATTTAATATGTATGGCACCTGTGCTTAGAGAGCAAGTCATAGACCATATTGGGCCACTGAAGATGCCTTGACTATCTCTTCCAGTGGCAGATTGCAACAGAAGTGGAATGTTGCCATGGTTGCCAGTATCCAGCTCCTTTGCGTAGTTGCCCTCCAGTAAAACTGACTGTAGTTTTAATGTTCAGTTGCTCACATTGGATAGACAGGCAATAAGCCAAAACTCTGACCTTTCGGGTTGGACTTTTGTCAGTTCTGCCAGTGCTTCAAACTTCTGGTGTTGCTTTATGGATCAGCTTATCACTTCTGTGAATCCTAGCAGCTGGAATGGTGTATACAGATTGTTGGGGTATATCAGGAGCACCTAACTTTGGGAACACCTACTTATTTATTTGTTACACTTCTCTCCTTGCTTTGTATTTGGTGAACCCAAAGTAGTGTGCATATCAGTGTCCCTTTCCATTTCCTCAAGACAATCCTATGAGGGGGGTTAGGCAGGAAGAACATAACTCAACCAAGGTTGCCTAGTCAGTTGCATGATGAGACAAGGATTTGAACCTCAGACACCTGATTCCTAATTGTTGTTTAGTCGTGTCCGACTCTTTGTGACCCCATGGACCAGACCACACCAGGCCCTCCTGTCTTCCACTGCGTCCAGGAGTTGGGTCAAATTTATGTTGGTAGCTTCAATGACACTGTCGAACCATCTCGTCCTCTGTCGTCCCCTTCTCCTCCTGCCTTCACATTTTCCCAACATCAGGGGTTTTTCCAGGGAATCTTCTCTTCTCATGAGATGGCCAAAGTATTGGAGCCTCATCTTCAGGATCTGTCCTTCCAGTGAGCACTCAGGGTTGATTTCCTTTAGAATGAATTGGTCTGTTCTCCTTGCAGTCCAGGGGATTCTCAAGAGCCTCCTCCAGCACCACAATTCAAAAGCATCAATTCTTCGGCGGTCAGCTTTCTTTATGGTCCAGCTCTCACTTCCATACATCACTACAGGAAAAACCATAGCTTTGACTTTTGTTGGCAAGGTGATGTCTCTGCTTTTTAAGAGGCTGTCGAGGTTTGTCATTGCTTTCCTCCGAAGAAGCAGGTGTCTTTCAGTTTTGTGGCTGCTGTCACCATCTGCAGTGATCGTGGAGCCCAGGAAGGTAAAATCTGTCACACTGCCTCTTACTTAATTTTCACACTTCCTGAACTGCAACGAATAGTGAAAAAGCCTTGAGTAGCATTCTTATCTTGAGAAGTACATGTTTATCACAGTTGTAAAGTGTACATGTAAGGAAAGAGGCAATGTGACTGGAAGAATAAGCATATTAATTTTTTGTTAGTTGCAACAGTTGAGTTTTTAAAATAGTAAAATGGAACTGTAATTGGACTGTAATGAAGAATGTAATCCATCATCTTCAGTGTCCAGGATTTTTTAAAGTCTCCAGTCTTTTCAGTACATCCAAAGCAGGCAGCATCAATGCTAGTTCAACTTTAAGATGTTAAAGGAACTACAGTAGTACAGTAGCTTATGAATAACCTGCTTTCCTGAACACAGACAACCCTTTGACATTCTTTTGCTAAATATAGAATCTTTAATTTTGTAAATTAATTCTTCTAAGTATCTTGTAGCCTGAGAGTACTTTTCTCTGATTTTAGCAGTAATTTATATCATCTTTCACATCGGCTAAGTTAATTTCTCAGTGCTTCAATTGTGTTTCTTATTCTGAAATATAAATTAATTTAAAATACATTTAAGTGCAAGTACAACACAGTCTTATGAAAAATATACATTTAATTCAAAATGTTTGAGATGGCCCTAGTGTAGCATGGCCTAGCTTATGTGTATAATTGTCATTTTGTACAATTGTCAGTCCAGTTCTGTTCATAACACAGCTGCAGAAATACTGTTCTGTGAAAATGAATGTTCTGGTGAGACAAGAGTAGAAAAAAATCATCTCACTGAACTTGATCAGTGGTCAAAATTGCTACATTTGACAAGAGAAAGTGCATAGTTTCCATATTCTTTGTTTTAGAGTTCTGACTTCTAGACTTGTGATTGACTACTTTGAACCTTTGTTTTCATCTTCTTAACAAAACATCTCCTTTTTAAAATAAATATTTGCTTTACTACATACTTCGAACTCTTAAGACTTGCTACTTATTGCTGTTTCTTCACAGTGGGCAGTAGAAGCAGTACTTTATGGAATAATATATGCAGAAACACATTCCTTATCCTGATTAGCTTACAGTTCAAAAATGGAGAAATATGAAAGTCTGGCCAGTTCAGTAAGTCACTTAACTTCAGTATGAGTAAAGAGGATTTGCTTACCCTTGTTTTTTGTTTTGGAAGTTGAGGGACTTTTATAGTATCTAATTGAAAAAGTGGAGTTGAAAAGAAAGTGAGTTTATATTGATCTGGAAAAGTAATTTTAGGAAATTTATTAGCAGTCTTCTTTATTGCATCACTCTATATAGTTACAGTAAACCCTACTGTTGTGGCTTATTTTAATTCTCTGACCAGTATCCCTCCCACATAATCATAGTGTAATGGAGTTGGAAAGGGTCTGTAAGGCCACTGGGTTGAACCCCCTGCTCAATGCAGTAATCCAAGTTAAAGTACTGTATACTTGAGAGATGGCTGTCTAACTTCCTCTTGAATTCCTCCAGTGTTGGAGTGCTCACCACCTCCCAAGATAATTGGTTCCAAAGTTGTTCCTGATAATCAGCATAAATCTGGCTTCCTGTAATTTGAGCCTATTTATTATATGTCCTCCACTCTGTAATGATTCAGAACAGATCTTGCCTTTGCTCTGTATGACAACCTTTTAAGTACAGTATTTGAATAGCCTTTTCTCATAAGCCTTGGTTTCCTGTCATCCATCCTAGTTGCCTTCTGAACATGTTCTTTCCTATCTTGCTTTCCTTTATGGTAGGATTCCTATATCCACTAGGGATAGATTCCATGATCTGTGGATGCCTGAAACCACAGATATAAGGAAACCCTATATACAGCATACAAGGGCATAGGTCACATGGGGGTTCCCTTGTATGTTGTATTTAGGACTGTGGCAAATCACAGAAAAGTAAAACCATGGATACTGATCCCATAGATACAGGGACCCTACTGTATATCCTTAGGGCCATAGCATTGTTGCCACCTTAGGTATCTCGTTTTTTTCTTGTGCCCAATTCATGAAGTACTTTTCCTCCCCTGTCATCCTCTTGGGTGCCCAAGGAGACAAGTCTTAGATCAGTGGTCCCCAACCTTGGGCCTCCAGATGTTCTTGGACTACAACTCCCAGAAACCTTCACCACCACCTCTGCTGGCCAGGATTTCTGGGAGTTGAAATGAATAACATTTCCCAGTGACTTCCAGGAGATAGAGGAAAGGTAAGACTCACTAGCTCATGTTCATGCTCACTGTCCGTCCAATGGTTTTCAATGAGAGAAAAAACAAAAAATCACCAAAAACTAACGAAGACTCAGAACAAAGCCAAACTAAGTGTGCATAGGTTTCACAAGGTAGACTAACTATTCCAAGCATTTAAAACTGGTTTCAAACATTTTAAGACTCTTTTAAATGAACAAAACCGGACATCGTTAAGTGAAATTCCGCCATAGAGAAGATCGTTAAACGATGGGGGAAATTCCTCAAAGAAACCCATCGCAAAGCGAATACATTGTTAAACGAAGCAATTGCTAAGCGAGGCACCACTGTATTTAAAGCTGCCTTTAATAACTATTTCTTTAAAATTTTTATCAATCAATTTTGGATTATTTTACAGGATTATTTATATCTGTGGTTTAATTATTGTCTGTTGAACCGTAGTTTTTATCATATTTTTGTTGTGATGTTGTTGTGACTTTTAACTTTGTGTAAATTGCTCAGAGTAGTGCTTTTAATTAATGGGGCAGTATATAAATTGATTGTTTGAATGAATGAATGAAAATATAAATATATAAACAAATAAATAAAAATTAGACAGCAAAATTGCTTTATAATGTTGGTTAATTTGTTGAACATAGAGTTCTACTTATCTCAATGTTTTGTTAACAATAATTTAAAAGCATAAACATTCATATGTGTTTAGGTGGGTGGGTGTGTTTGGGAATATACATAAGAAATATATTATGTTAATATATTTATAATTTCAATAAATTTGTAGTACAAGAAATTGTATTAATTTGTAAGCATAGAGTGAAAAAAAGTTACCATATTTAATACTATATTTCTAATCTGCAAATTCCTATGTATTATCTAATTACTACAATTTCTTCTCTTAGGATATTCAAAATCAGAACAAATGTTGCGTCCTGCATTTTCTGAAGACATTCAGACCTAATCTATTCTGAACCTGTGGGCTGAAGGAATGTAAACCCTAAGGTTTTAGATCTGTTCAAAAATTTGCAGACGTGCAGTTGACAGGTAAATACTGCCTATTTGTTAAAGCACTACATAATTGCTCTTTCTTCAAGTGTTTTAATCAAGTGATTTAATCAACTGTAGTTTAAAAGAGATACACAGGAGAAAAGTTGCATTTCCTAAACATTGTAACTGTGTCTATAAACCTTAATCTTCAAGTACTTAAATCATGATAATTGTGGTGCTATTTTTATAGTTTCTGTTGTCACTACAGTCATTAATAAGTCAACAACACAGTTAGTTGGCCTATATATATGCATTAGAATATTGCCCAGCCCTGCTTGGGGGGATATTATGTTAGCCAGGAATAGCTCTCAGTTCTTTCCCAATCTCAAATTGCTTCACAATAAAAATAACAACACGAAGGCATTTCTTGTTTTGTTCTGTGCAGTACGCCTCAGAGCTAGTTGGCAACACATGAGCCTCATTTTCATAATTCCAAAATACAGTTTGTATTTATATGTGAATAAACGTATTGTTTCTAATTTGAATTTTCCAATTGAAAGTAATGCCCAACCTCACAGAGCGATTATGTAAGAGGTCAAATTAAATCGTATGAATTTTTTACATCAGCAGTCTTATCACATGCACATTAATATAACTCACTTATTTAGCAAGCTTTTTGCATTATATCTAAATGATTGACTCTTTTTCCATTACTGATCACAAACCTGCCTCTTAACTGTAGTGGAATTATGGAATTTTGCATTGTTTGAGGACCCTTTTTGTAACTACTTTGGTGAACCTCTGGTTTGTAATGGAATCTATTTTATCCTTGGGTTGATCTGGAATAGTTCTGTAACATCCATTATATACCTGAGGATGTTTTTGCACAGGTACCACTTGCATTGTATTGTAGTGATGAATTATACTTATTGCTGTTCTTAAAGGTAACCAGGAATTTTAAACCAGTGCAGAATGTGGCAGCTGTAACTGTAATCAGTATCACCATGTAAAATCATATTACACAGATTTGAAGGAGCTACATTGGCCGTCTCCAATGCTTCCAAGTCCAGTTTGAGTTGTTGTTTTTAATGCCATAAATGATTTTGGATACAGGCAACATTTGCTCTTATTTTCTAGAGTACTGTGTGAGAGCTCCGCCCATTGCGTGTGTGGTTCTGTAGTAACTGGAAGCAAATGGGTGTTAACACTCGTTCAGCTGTACACACCTGATGGAGTGGCATGTGCCTGCATGGCTTAGAGGGAATGTTGGACACATGTGTTTGATGGAGTGTAGTTCCCCAGAACCCAGTGTCCATTACTGACAGGGGAAATCTCTTCTCCAGGCAAGGACATAAGCCCTCTTAGGTGTGTCTCTTTGCCTGTGGAATGCCTTCCTCCTGAAGCTTTTAGTGGTACCAACATTGCAATTATTTTGGTGCCAACTTCCAACCAATTTGTTTCCCAGGGCATTTTAAAATCGGCTGAGTTGACATGTTTTACTGTTTTTGAGGCTTTACTTTGTTTTGAATATTTTTTTCAAGTTTCATTGCCTTAATTGTTTGCATAGTGTGCTGGTAGCTGTTACCACATTTGAATACTGTTCTGGTAGCTGAAAAGATGAATTATGGTTTAATTTTTTTAAAACAAAACTTGGTGTTTACATAATGCATTGATCTTTTGGGAAAACAGGTGTTGTCATCGCTGTGTTAACTTGCCCCCTCCCCATAGAAACTTGTTAAAACTGGACATGGAATAACTGCTTTAGACTGCCAGAAGTATAATTTTTAATCCGTTATTACTGTACACTCAGATTTGTGTTTGAATCATAGTTCAGTTTGGATGAGACAATTTAAGCATTCAAAAGAATCAAATAGAGTAATCTATGACTATAAGACTATACACCTTGTCTGAAAGTAAGACAAAACATCTTCACCTTTCATATGAAAATTGCCATGAGGAAAAAGAGGTATAAACCTGTTAGCTTTCAATGCAGAAGGTATATGGATTTACTGGGAAAATATCTCTCCTACAGTGAGACTAGGTTTCTGAATAGTTACATAATATTATTTTCATATTCTCACAGATAGGGTGATGACACTTCACATAACAAATCTCTTGGTTATATTATGATACCAAGCCAAGGGAACTCATTGTTTTGGCTGCCTTGAAGCATAGTATTGATTAAGTGCTTAGGTTGTTCTTTGCATAGTTTATACTGACCTTCAATTTTTGTTTTGCAGATTTCTGTGTAAATCAAGCAAACATGGGTGCATTTTTGGATAAACCAAAAACTGAGAAGCATAATGCTCATGGGGCAGGAAATGGGTTGCGTTATGGCCTCAGTAGTATGCAAGGATGGAGAGTGGAAATGGAAGATGCTCACACAGCTGTTGTAGGAATTCCCCATGGTTTGGAGGACTGGTCCTTTTTTGCTGTTTATGACGGTCATGCAGGATCTCGTGTGGCAAATTACTGCTCAAACCACTTACTAGAACACATCACTAGCAATGAAGACTTCAGGGGAACAGAACAGCCCGGCTCTGCTCTGGAACCTTCAGTGGAAAATGTAAAGAGTGGAATCAGAACTGGCTTTTTGAAAATTGATGAGTACATGCGCAATTTTTCAGACCTCAGAAATGGCATGGACAGGAGTGGCTCAACAGCAGTGGGAGTTATGATCTCACCTGAACATATTTACTTTATTAACTGTGGAGACTCACGTGCTGTTCTCTATAGGAATGGACAAGTCTGCTTTTCAACACAAGATCATAAGCCTTGTAATCCCAGGGAGAAGGAGAGAATCCAGAATGCAGGAGGGAGTGTCATGATTCGGCGTGTTAATGGCTCGTTAGCAGTTTCCCGGGCTCTAGGGGACTATGACTACAAATGTGTTGATGGCAAAGGCCCAACAGAACAACTTGTTTCTCCAGAACCTGAGGTTTATGAAATTGTAAGAGCAGAAGAGGATGAGTTTATTGTCCTGGCTTGTGATGGAATTTGGGATGTTATGAGCAATGAGGAGCTTTGTGAATTTGTTAAGTCTAGGCTTGAAGTATCGGATGATCTGGAAAAAGTGTGCAATTGGGTTGTGGATACTTGTTTACACAAGGTATGTGATTTATTCCATCCAAAAGACGACTACATATTCTTTAATACTGGCAAAAACGCCATTCTGATGGAATAGTTCTTAATAGAGGAATTAGCTTTTCTCCATTTGTTGCTTCTCTAAAATAACTTAATAAAGAATTAATCTGTACAAATTTATTCAGTTGCAAACTTGTTAGGAACTCATGCTGCTGTTGAATTTAAGACTGTACATTCTATAAAATTTTTAAAAGAATTTTAGATTTCTAGATCTAATCGTTATTCTCTTGGAAGCTGACTTTGTTCACTAATTTGAAAAAACTTTTAAAAAACTCAAAATCTTAAGTTTGTCAGAAAAGGACAAACTTGCCTGTACCGAAATCCTTTTGTTTAATGTAGTAAGTTGCACTAGACTGGGCCTATGAATCGGTGGGGATTTGAGAGGTAGTGCCTGTTGTATTTAAATCTCCACTGATTCAGTGGGCCTACTCTAAATATGACTTACTATAACAAGCAACAGGATTTCAGCTTTTGTTTACAGCTAGTAGTTAACTACAGTGATGCCTCGCTTAGCGATGTTAATTGGTTAAAAAAAACATCGCTATGGGGAAACATTGCTAAGCGAAACACCATTTCCCATAGGAATGCATTGAAAACCGGATAATACGTTCCAATGGGAACGGATTACCGTCCTTAAGCGAAAATTGCCGTAGGAAACATTGCTAAGCGAAACGCGGTCCCCCCATTGGAATGCATTGAATAGGTTTCAATGCATTTCAATGGTTTTAACAGGTCCGTTTTCGCTATTTTTAAAGTGTCTTAAAATGTTGAAAAACTATTTAAAATGCTTGGGATCATTAGTGCACCTTGTAAAACCTTTGCAAACTTAATTTGGCTTTGTTCTGAGTCTTCGTTAATTTTTGGTGAATTCCCCCCCCCCATTGGAATGCATTGAACTGTAGGTTTGACAGTCTGACAGCACCAAAGGTTTGACAGCACCAAAAACGGACATCGCTAAGCGAAACAGGGACCTAAACTGTCATCGCTAACCGAAGCGAGATCCCCATCATCGCTATGCGAAATTTCCCCATTGGAAACATCGCTAAACGGAGCACAAGATCCTAAAAACCTCATCGCTAAGCGAATACATTGTTAAACAAGGCACTCGCTAAGCGAGGCACCACTGTATTTGCAAATCTAATATTGATGATTCTGGGTTTTCCCAGAATTTTAACTTCTAAGAAATAGATTTCTCAGTTCAAGATTACTGCTGTTAGTGTCCATGTCTTGCTTTAAAGATGAAGACCTGCAGTCGAATTAGTATATTACATAAGCATATAAAAACTGTCATGAGTTAATTTTCAAGCTTTCATCCATTTCCAAGGTAGTGATGAAAATATTATTGCTGGTAAAGCATAAATGTTACAGTGTTTGGCAACAAAATGCTATACTTCAAGTTATGACATCACTGTAGATATCTGTTGCATACTGAGCCATACAACCCAGCATGCAATAGTGTCCACACTGACTTTGTAACTCACTGTTAGAGGTTGCACCATTTGAATTATGCCAGCAGTCAGATTTGAACCAGTATGTTTAGATCTGTGGTGTGGAAGATTGTTGCTGAAAACTTACATTTTGAATAGGCTAGTGGATTAAAACCAACTTCAGTAATGTGAAGTTTCACATTCTGAAAGATTTTTCCAAACTGAATGCAGAAATATTATGTAGCTATAAAGTTACAAGTTATACTTTGTTTTTTCTTGAAATTTAAACTTTGAAAAAACTTTTTAAAAAACAGCAATGGGTTGAAGAGCACTTTTAAAAATTCGTGACAGTTAATTGAAGTATATGTTTAGTGCATTAAGTTTTTCCTTTCAGTAAATCATGGGGGTAATGCCTGTTTAGGACCAGTTAGATACTTATGTGATGTCTAATTGTAAAGATCATCTGACCACTACTATGTAGTTTTTGAATATTTGACATTGTCGTCTGAGATTGTGGAAAAGAGATACTAAATCTCAAATATGTACTTTTTTTCCTCCCAAAATATAGGGAAGTCGTGATAACATGAGTATTGTTCTAGTTTGCTTTTCAAATGCTCCTAAGGTCTCAGATGAGGCAGTGAAAAGAGATGCAGAATTGGATAAGCACTTGGAATCACGGGTAGAAGGTAAGAGATCACATTCTGTATTGGATTTTTTTCCCCTAGTTTTACTTGGTCCTCACTCGCTGAGCTGTTACAAAAAATATAAATACATTTAGGCAAAATTAGCACAGAACATTCAGAAACTAAGGGAAATAATATTATTTTTATACTTCATAGTATATCAGTGTATGTGTGCACATGTATGTGTTTATTGCTGTGGTTCTGATTCTGTGCTATAGGATCCCGATGCAGCTTAGTGAAATTGGTAATGTCTTTGTCTTCTGGGCACTAAACGTAATGTCTCATTTACACATACTGATGACCTTGTAATGTGCATCTAGACTGATTTGTAATGCAGTATAACCAAGCAAGCAGTCTTCTTATTGCAGTCAGCAATCAGTAGTTGGCACATAAATAATAATTTAAAAGATAATATCCAAACTAGTATGAGATAGCAAAAGATAAAACAGAACACACACACACACCAGAATAACATTCTTTGACAGCATTCATGAATAGTTGTACTGTACTAAAATGCCAGCCATGAGAACTAGAGTATAAATAATAAAAGAGTTCTTTGGAAGATTTTGCTTGATACACTGCAAAATTTTGCCATGTACAATAAAGTGCCTGCATATCTGAGAGAAGATAGAGAACATGGGATGCATCTGATTGTCCAGGGATTATCAACAGAAAAGATTCAATAATTTTTTTCTGTTGTAGTTGTTTAGTCATTAAGTCATGTCTGACTCTTCGTGACCCCATGGACGAGAGCACTCCAGGCCCTCCTGTCTTTCACTGCCTCCCAGAGTTGGGTTAAATTCATGTTGGTAGCTTCGATGACACTATTCAACCATCTGGTCCTCTGTCATCCCCTTCTCATATTGCCTTCACACTTTCCCAACATCAGGGTCTTTTCCAGGGAGTCTTTTCTCATGAGATGGCCAAAGTATTGGAGCCTCAGCTTCAGAATCTGTCCTTCCAGTGAGCGGATAGGTTTGATCTCCTTACAGTCCAGGGGACTCTCAAGAGCTTCCTCCGACACCACAGTTCAAAAGCGTGAATTCTTCAGTGGTAAGCCTTCTTTATGGTCCAGCTCTCACATCCATACATCACTACTGGAAAAACCATAGCTTTGACTAGGTGGACCTTTGTCGGCAAGGTGATGTCTGCTTCTTGAGATGTTGTCTACGTTTATCATTGCTTTCCTCCCAAGAATAAGGTGTCTTAATTTCATGGCTGCTGTCACCGTCTGCAGTGGTCATGGAGCCCAAGAAAGTAAAATCTGTCACTGTCTCCATATCTTCCCATTCTATTTGCCAGGAGGTGATGGGACCAGTGGCCATGATCTTGGGTTTTTTTATGTCAAGCTTGAGACCATTTTTGGCTCTCTCCTCTTTCACACTCATTAAGATGTTTCTCCTCACTTTCTGCCATCAGAGTGGTATCATCTCCATATCTGAGGTTGTTGACATTTCTTCCGGCAATCTTAATTCCGGTTTGGGATTCCTCCAATCCAGCCTTTCACATGATGTATTCTGCATAGGTTAAATAAGCAGGGGGACAATATACACCCTTGTCGTACTCTTTTCCCAATTTTGATCCAATCAGTTGTTCCATATCCAGTTTTCACTGTTGTTTCCTGTCCCACATACAGATTTCTCAGGATTTCTCCTCCTTGTATAGGAAGATAAGATGGTCAGGCACTCCCATTTCTTTAAGAACTCGCCATAGTTTGCTGTGGTCCACACAGTCAAAGGCTTTTGCATAGTCAATGCAGCAGAAGTAGATATTTTTCTGGAACTCTTTGGCTTTCTCCATAATCCAGCGCATGTTAGCACTTTGGTCTCTAGTTCCTCTGCCCCTTTGAAATCTAGCTTGTACTTCTGGGAGTTCTTGGTCCACATACTGCTGAAGCCTACCTTGGAGGATTTTGAGCATAACGTTGCTAGTGTGTGAAATGAGTGCAATTGTATGCTTTGGGATTGGGATGTAGACTGAGCTTTTCCAATCCTCTAGCCACTGCTGAGTTTTCCAAACGTGTTGGCATATTGAGTGTAGCACCTTAATGGCATCATATTTTAAGATTTTAAATAGTTCTACTGGAATGCCATCACCTCCACTGGCCTTGTTGTTAGCCATGGCTTCTAAGGCCCACTTGACGTCACTTTCCAGGATGTCTGGCTCAAGGTCAGCAACCACACTATCTGGGTTGTCCAAGACATCCAGATCTTTCTGGTATAATTCCTCTGTGTATTCTTGCTACCTCTTCTTGATATCTTCTGCTTCTGTGAGGTCCCTACCATTTTCCTTTTATCATGTCCATCTTGGCAGAAAAAGGTTCCTTAGTTTAATGTCTCCAATTTCTTGACCAGATCTCTGGTTTTTTCCTTTCTATTCTTTTCCACTATTTCTTTGTACTGTTCATTGAAGAAGGCCCTCTTGTCTTTCCTTGCTATTCTTTGGAGGTCTGCATTCCGTTTTCTGTAACCTTCCCTATCTCCCTTGCATTTTGTTTCCCTTCTCTTCTCTGCTATTTGTAAGGCCTTGTTGGACAGCCGCTTTGCTTTCTTTCACTTCCTTTTCTTTGGGATTGTTTTTGTTGCTGCTTCCTGTACACCTCCTTTCTTCAGTTGAGTTTTGTTATAAGAAGCTGATGATCAAAGCCACAATCAGATCCAGGACTTGTTTTTGCTGACTGTATACAGCTTCTCTGTCCATGTGTAGAGTCGCCTGTTATGTTTTTGGAAAAGAGTTTTTCTGATGACCAGCTTGTTCTCTTGACAAAACTCTATTAGCCTTTGCCCTGCTTCATTTTGAACTCCAAGGCCAAACTTTTACTGTTTTTCCTTTTATCTCTTGACTCCCTACTTTAGCACACTGGTTCTTAACCTTGGGTTACTCAGGAGTTTTGGACTGCAACTCCCAGAAGCCTTCACCACCAGCTGTCTTGACTGGGGTTTCTGGGAGTTGCAGTTCAAAAGCATCCAAGTAACAAAGGTTAGGAACCACCGCTTTAGCATTCCAGTCCCCTATAATAAGAACATCTTTCTTTGGTGTCAGTTCTAGAAGGTGTAAGTCTTCATAGAATTGGTCAATTTCAGTCTCTTCAGCATCTTTGGTTGGTGCATAAACGTGGATGACTGCGATGTTGAACGGTCTGCATTGGATTCGTATTGAAATCATTCTATCATTTTTGAGATTGTATCTCAGTACAGCTTTTCCCGCTCTTTTGTTGACTATGAGGGCTACTCCATTTCTTTTACAGGATTCTTGCCCACAATAGTAGATATTATAATTGTCTGGATTGAATTTGCCCATTCCCATCCATTTTAGTTCACTGATGCCCAGGATGTCAATGTTTATTCTTGCCATTTCCTGTTGGACCACATCCAGTTTACCAAGGTTCATAGATCTTACATTCCAGGTTCCTGTGCAGTATTCTTCTTTGCAGCATCAAACTTTCCTTTCACTTCCAGGCGTGTCCACAGCTGAGCGTCCTTTCAGCTTTGGCCGAACCACTTTATTAACTCTGGAGCTACATGTCCTTGTCCTCCACTCTTCTTCAGTAGCGTGTTGGACACCTTCTGACCCGAGGGGCTTATCTTCCAGCGTCATATCTTTTAGCCTTTTGTTTCTTTCCATGGAGTTTTCTTGGCAAAGATACAGTACTGGAGTGGCTTGCCAGTTCCTGCTCCAGGGAGATTGTGTTTAGTCAGAACTCTCCACTATGACGTTTCCGTCTTGGGTGTCCCTGCACAGCATAGCCCATAGCTTCTCTGAAGTACTCAAGCCCCTTCACCACAACAAGGCAGCAATCTGTGAAGGGGATTTATTTTCCTGTACATAGTGATAAAAGAGTCAGTACTTAAGAATGTGGGTTATCCATTCTACCTTTCGAAAGTCATAAAAGTAGTGAAAGCAGATTTTGGGGGTTTTGTTGTTTGTTTTAACCTTATCTCCAAAAGTATAGATGGGAGAGCATTCAAGTGGGCCAGAGAAAAGACCGTTGTGGTGATGTAGAACAGTGTTTGCGTAAAAGTGGTTCTCTTTACAGTATGCAAAATCAAGTAGAGTGTTATTTAAGGCTGTTTCAAAGTCCAATTGGCACTCAGCGTCTAGGATACATTTCTTGAGAACCATGCTGGGTATTTTATATTCGAAAGGGATAAGATAACTCATAGAAAATCCATACTATTAGCATTTCATGCAAAGAGATTACTTCCAGGTGGACTGGTTATCATCCTGTAGGGTTAAGTAATCTAGGCCATTTTGGAGCAAGATTAGCTTCAGCTAAAGATGTAAACCTAGGTTTCAGCTGGAGAGCTGTCCTTGGCACAGAGCAGAATACATTTGGGTTAACTTAGGCATTTATCACATTTTGTCTTGACTACTTGTGCTTGTTACTGATTGAAAACCAAGAGATTTTGTGAAGTAGAAACTAGCTTAGCAGTGCATTCATTTGTTAACCTGTTGAAAACATATGTAAGATGCGTAAGCTATTCTAGCCCTATTGAGAAACTGCACTGTGTACAAGAAGAGGCTGTCACATGTTATTTTTCAGTTCCTTTATGGGCAGAGCTGTGCGCTAGGGTTTGTCAGTGCTTGTTTCCTTGGAAAAATAAGAATTCATGTTTGTATTCTTGCTTTTAGCCCATTTGACATGATTAATTGCAGTACAACTGTGCAGTCAACAATGGATAAAATGTATGGTATAGAAAATTTTCCACAGAAAAATATAGCATCAGAAAATTTTACAGAATCTGCTTTTAGCATTCTTAATCTAGGTTTAAATTTCCCTTTGATTTCCTGGATCTTGTGGAATAGTTTCCGTTTTCTCCTCTTTTGTTGTTTTTATTCTGTTTCTTTGTGTTTATCATTCTAGTACTTCTCTTTGTCTCCACATGATGCATTCTGAAATGGTACATTGCGGATTCTGACCCTATTTTTGTCACCTTTTGCTTTTTTCCTGTCTAGTAATTTCAGATGTTTCTTCCTTCATCTATCTAGTTTGTTTTCTTTTT